AAGGAGACTCTTGGACATGGTTTGGAAAGAAGGTAAAAGTGGCTGCCAAACCCACAAAAGCAGCAACAGGAATGTGTCTCTTACTCAGTCGCCACTCCAGAGCCATGTTCACTTGACAGGCCCACTCACAACAGAACTCGCACTGGGCACCAGATCACCTGGCAAAAACAAGTGTTTTCTTGTTTTTTTTTTTTTTTTTTTTCAGTAGAGGGGCTTTCTGCCTTTCTCTGGCTAGGTTTTGCAACAACCATAGCTGGCAAAAAGAGTTAGCACCAGCATAAATCACTTATATAATATGTGTGTGTGTGTGTGTGTGTGTGTGTGTGTGTGTGTGTGTGTGTGTAGCCTTAGAACAAGAAATGGAAAAGAATTGTTTGTAGCAAGGTCACAAATATGAAAAACCCAAGTGGGGCCTGGCCAGGAGGCATGGTGGTCAACAGGTCGTGTTCAGAACCTCACAGGGCTCAAGCGAAGGTACCAGAAGAGTACAACTTTACAACTGGAATGGAAGATCAGCCAGTGTTTAGTGCTTTAAAAATCTCCAGATCCCTGGTTCTGGTAGTTGGAATGCTCCAGCCAAGGTCCCTCCCTGTCACATAGAGGGACAAATGCTGTCCAGAAGCCATAGGACAATGGACCAGGACTGAAATGTGGTCTTCCTCAGGAAACAGTAAGCACAAGCAATCCTAATGATGACAGCTACAGTGATGAATTCACCAGTTCATTTACTAGGTCACCATTTCTTCCTTGACTTAAACACTACTGTTCCAAACCTTACTGTTCCAAACCCATAATTGTTCCAAACTCATTCTCCAGCTGTGGTTTGAGGGACTCTGACTCCTCTGTCCCTGTACCTCTGTTCAGCAATCACACTGGAGCCTTTGTCTTTCCAGGACAGAGGCCAGGGGCTCCCAAGCAGAAGACACCTTGCGAAATTTCTCCTTCTCTCACTGGGGCCAGGTGTCAGCTCCCAGCAGGGCTCCTCAATCAGGGCTTAGAAGAAGTGACATCTCATTCCTCCTGAACAAACCCCCCAAGGGGGGGGTTACCACAGGGACAGGTTCCTTCGTGCTGCCAGGCTGTGTCCCATCATGTCCAGAGCTGAGTTGCAAAGGATTTATGTCAAGGGCTAGCTGACAGTGCCATTGTGAACTGTCACCAAGCAAGTCAGGGCTGGCCGTGAAGCCTGAGCCATCGCCACCCTGCCAGAAGTTAGGGGCCCCTGAGGGGCCCTCCACCATCCACTGAGCTATTGTCTGCTGCTTACAGCTTTCACTCTGGGGCAGGGAAGATTAAACTGATAGAGAAGATATGGCTGGCCTCAGCGAATCTGGAGGCACCATTTCTATCTCTACTGCACTTTGTCCCCCTTGATGTCACTTGCCAGGTGAAAAGATCACCAAGTAGCTACCCAATGGTCTCTGGGAATGCAGAACTGCAACACCTGAGAGGAGGAAAGACTTCTCATGCAAAGCCAGAGGGGGTGAGGAAGAAAACCTGGTTTTCTGAAAAAGAGTTGAGAAGCCTTGAACTAAGACCGCAGCTCGGGTGCCTTCCCCATAAATCACTCACCTCCTCTGGTCTAGAGCTCTTCAGTTGTAAGATGGAGGTGAGGGGTGGAGGAGGGAGTGAAGAGGCTGACTCAATGAACTTCAAGCACTCAACTCTACAGCCTTCTTCTGCCAGCCCAGCAACCAAGTCTGGCAGTTCAAAGGTGGATACTTCAGAAAATGGGAACATCAGCCACTAGTCAGTTCTGCTGGTCCCCAAATGGCACTTGGTTTGTTTAATAAGACTTGTGATTAAGGCTAACAAAGTTATTAAAGACTATCCCTCAAAAAAACACCTTTTGTGGTCATTTGTACATAGCAGCTCTAGGACACTAAAACAACCACCACAGAAATAAGGTAGTGATTGTCATTCTAGTTTTACTAATGATATAACAGAGACTCGGAAAGGATAAGTAACTTATCCCAATTCACCTGATGCTCAGGTGTGTCCTCTAACAGACTCACTATACTTGTCACAACACCGAGCTGCTTCTGTTTCTAACACACAGGGTCTCAGCTCACAGTTAGATCCGAGGGAAAGTGAACAGAGTTAATGATTTATCCTAGGTGTAGCTTCTTGGTGGCAGGGCTTCATCACACCCAGGGCTTCAGCACCACTTGGTGATGAACCATGGCAAAGACCTGCCACCTCCCGCAGCCAGCTATTTTAGCACATTCTGTTTTATTATTGCCACGATTACCAAGATCTGGAGCTTCGTGCTAATTTTCCCTTGCAGTAAATGGCTGAAAAGTAATGGTGTCAATTTTAATGAGGATCAAGCAAGGCTCCTAAAAGGGCTCCCATAAACGAAAGCATTTCCCTCACACACAACAATGGCTTGCTGTTTAATTCCAGAACACAAGAATGTCACTTAAATTACACGGCTTTTACATGAAAGTGCTTATGGGGATGCCTTTCCAAGGAAGAATTTCAATAAAAAGATCTCACCCATTTGGACGCTTTCTAATATCTGAACCACAAATCTACGTATCATAGCAACAAAAATAAAACCTGGGACAATGAAAAAGAACAGGGCTCCATTTTCACTGGGAAAAAGTTTCTGATTTTCTAAGAAACAGAGAGGTAGCTAAGAAGCAGTTATCAAGCAGTGATAGCATAAGTTTGGGATTGTGAGCCACCAGAAATGTGTTGCTTAAGCTTGAATCCTTTCTGTTTCCACTTGCAGAGATGTTCAGAATGACTGCCAGCCTGTAAGTCTATCCAAGGCTTCAGCTGACTCAATTCTTGTTTTATTAGTGCTTCTCCAAGAAATTACTAGAGTTTTGAGCAAAAATGAGAGTATTTCACACCTCCATCTTTACTGAAAATATCTTATACTCCACTGACTTTTGGCTTCTATTTATAAAGAAGGTTCAAGGCTTGGAAAATTATTGGAGTTGAGCTTTAATGGATATTCCCAACCAGCATTGTGTCATTATTGGCCCGCGCTGAACTGGGCGATCTCCCAAATTTGTGACATAATCAGGTCTCTCTGCATTACTCCATACACTCCACGCTCCCTCCGCATTACACCACTGAATCACTCGCTCTTTTCAACAAGACTGATTGCCAGGGGATTAAGTTAGACAGCACAATTCCATTATTCAGCAGCCCAATTCAAATCCCAACCCTAAACTTTAAGAGAGATTTCAGGGCTTCACAGGGATGAACTGCCAGAAAGCTGAAAAGGGGAGGTGGGGTAAGGGGCTTTCGAATGCTTTTCATAACAACTCAACCTAAAACCTGCTGTAAGCAAGAGCCCAGGGCTGGAGTGGCCCTGACATGACTCCCAATTCCTGGAATGGCCCCAACCAATCTTAACAAACAATGTGTAGACCTATGCAAAGTCATAAATCCCAGAAGACTGCTACAGCACAATTATTTCTTCCCACAATAAATTACTTTATTTCAAAATTAGGTATTTAAAACTTTTAGCCCCAAATCTAATTTTCTTTCCTTAAATGGAAACACTTCATGTCAAATTCAGTACGCGTGGCCCAAAGTAAATTCCGAGCCCAGTGTTCTTTGATCAACGGATTTAGAGTACAATGTCAAAATCCATGTTAAAATCAGTTTTGCTCTCATATTTCAGTGATACTTCTCTTTGTGTTTGTTTTGTAAAATATCTGAATATAGTAATTCTAAAAACCATAGCACAAATATCCAAAAAAAAGGGGGGGGGGCTCTAAAACTCGTTCTTTTATGAATAACCACAGGGCAGACATTATCCCAAGGCCGATATAATTTCACATTTATGCTTCTGAATACCTCAACTGTTCAAATAAATACTCTTTGCACTGCATGTTTATATACAAAAAGACTTTCTGGGGCGGAGTGTCTCCTGAATTTAACTTCATTTAACTTGAGAGAAAATCAAAATGGCTCATTTGACTCTTCAAATCTATCCAATTTGGCTAATCCAGTCTTGGAAAGTTAATGGTTCTTTGGACAGTTTAAATATCTGTGGAATCTCTTTTCAAAGTTTATATTTTATAAAAAGGTCAGAAATACCCACATGTGAGTGAGGGGTGTACACCAGGGGCGTGTGCACAGGAAATCATGCAGGAGAGACTGTTAGCAGACCACATTGGATGGGCATGTGTTTGTGATGTTACCAAGGGGGGCATGAATGCAAAAGGGATCCCTATGAGCTTAGAGTTGTTCTTTAGCAGAAGTCAGCAACTCCACATAGAGAACAGCATACCTATTAGGTGCCCCCAAAGAAATGGTTCAAGGATGAGGACAGGTTGAGAGTTGTGTCCATGACAGTTACAACAAAAACCCAGCAGAACAGGCAAAACTTGGAAAGAGATTTAACTTTCTAAGACTACAGGCTATGTTATCTGAAGGTGTTTTTTAAAAATGGCCTAGTCACCTGTGTACTCTGACAAAACTCAAACTCATCTATATAGTTCCCTTTTCACAAAGGAAATATCTTCCAGAAACAGACATCGAACTGGCAGTGTCTAAGAACTTTCCTTGACATTGACCTTTTCCCAGTCACTATGGACTCGGCCATTCTGATGCCTTTTCCTCGACTCTTCTGTCCACATGACAGTTACCCTTCTTTAGGCAATGCTGCCACTCTTAAAAAACAAACTTCTCCAGCAGCATATGTGATCCCTTTTCCCTGCATGCACTAACATTTTTCAGAGTAATCTCAGTTTCTAGAAGGTCAAGGCATTTTCTACGACATCCACCTTGTAAAAGATGATGCTAGAAACCAAGAGGGTCCCGCAAAACCCATAAAATCTGGCTTATCAGGAAAAAGGACACTGTCAGGCAACACAAGAATCCTTCTAGAATGACAGCTTGCATGCAGAAAGAATGAAAACAAACCAATTGTCTTTAAATTGGGGGAAAATCAAAACTCATTTTTATGACTTCAGATGAATCTAGCTAGAACGGTCTGGTGGCATACAGCTGCCAACGGCGAGAAGTCAACTCACCAACAACGTCTAGGTGGTATGTGTGATTGATGGAGCCGTATTCATTCTCTACCACACAGGTGTAATTTCCCTTGTCAGAAGGGACCACGCTTTCCATAATCAGGCTCCAGTGCTGGTTTCGGACCTGAAAAGATCAAAGTGAAGGTGGCTATTTAATAATCTTAGCACAGAATACCAGGTACATTGCTTTCTTAACTTCAAATAAAGTTGGTGGGGTTGGGGGTGGGAGTCAGTGGTAGAATTCATGTTTAGCAGATTCAAGGCCCTGGGTTCCATCCTGAGCACCAAAGACAAGGAGGGGCAGTAGGGACAGTAGAGAAGAAATACCTGACTTCTAAATTGTCCTCATAATTAATACTCAGAAAGGTGACAAAAGAAATTTGTAAAATGATAAACATCATCACATGAAGGCCTATGAGGCAGAAGTTACAATTCCAGTATAGAGGAATATTCAGAAGCATGCAGAGAGGACTCTGCATTGTGCACTTGAGGACTCCTCTAGGCAGCCAGAGCACCTGCCACCAGTGTGCATGGTGAGCCACCAGGTCACCCACCCACTGGGGACCCTCAGCACCCACACCAACAAGCGCCCCTCCAGAGCTGACACAAGTAAGCACTAACTACATGCCAGGTACAGCTCCGATGCCCCCTTTCACAAGGAAGCCCAAGAGGCAGATGCTGTCATCATTCCTGGAACTTGCTGGTTCGAAAGCCCCTCGCTTCTTTCTCCGTGAACTCTCTTCTGTTTCTTAATCCTCCTCCAGGTATCTGGAAATTTGGAGAAGTTTCAACTGGGAACATAAGTCTATCTCTCCCATTGCTGGTGGTGACCGAATAGATGTTACATGTTCCTGATATACCCAGAATTCTAAATATGGGAGCAATGAATCCTTAAGAAACTAAAACTTATGCATCCAAGTTTGCAAAGCCCTTGAGACTTTGCCCAGATAAGCAGCATGTGTAAAAATAAGTTATTGTGACTCCTGCCCATGGTTCTGTCAACACGCAAACAGACCAAACTCTAATGTTCTCACCTTGCTTTCAAAATATTTCAATAGACTCATAATTTTAAACAAGAGAAAGTTTCCTTACTAGGACAAAATGCAAATTTCACTATCTTTAGGGTTCAAGGCTTTAATATTTTTATCCAAACCAAATCATTCTGAGACATTTTGGACAAGGCCCTCCAGAAAAATGGAAAGAAAAAAAAATTAAAAGTTCCAGGCCTACTAATCTCGACTACGGCTTCAGGAATTTCAGTTGACCTTCTGAGTGACAGCCTGGACATTGCAAGCGTTTTGAGGCTTAATCACATAAAAACCGATAATACAAGCTGAGTCTTCACAATCACACAAGTGATTCAAGGAACTAAACTGGAGAATAAAGAAAACCATCTCATAACTACTCCATTAGAAGGACAGGAGGGCAGAGCAGCCATGCAGAGCCCCCCCACCGCTGGTTGCTGGCAGGCAGTTTCATCAACACCAGCCACACCCACACAGTGGACTTATTGCTGCTGAGTTCAGAAATAAGACCCTGCTCATCACTCACAGTGAAGGCTGCACTGCTCTTAAGGCAGTGAGTTCAGAAAGAGCTCTGGGAGTCACCTTGCTTGGCTGACCCACGTCCCCTGCACCATGGCACTGGTGATGGGAACCAATTGCCACAAGTGGGATCTGTGGCAATAAAATGAAACTGAGAGCATCTGGTGTTCAATGGAGAAAGTCTGTGCTCTGCTCAGAGGTGGCTCACTTTGTGCTCTTTGCTGGACCACGACTCTCAGGAGAACCAAAGCAAGAGGTCAGGTCTCCTTAGGAGACAGGAGCTCTCCCATTTGGAATGAAGAAGGAGCTATGGCTGCCTCATTCTTCAGTTCTTTGAGACCTGGCCACTGGAGTTTCTGAATTCTGGCTCCAGGATCCCTGAGTGCCTGGGAAGGCAGGGACAAGCTCCCTGACTTAACTGGGGAAAGATAGGCCGGCAGGAGACCCTCTCTCACCCCGGGCACTGAGGGGGTGTCAGAAATGCCTCTCTCCTTGCTTCAGAGGAACCAGTCACATGGAAGATAACTTAGGGATGTAGCCACAGGCCCCAAAGTCACCACGCCATGTAATCCAGCATTTAGCCCTGCTGTAAATATTCAGTTCTTGAGCCCCCGCTCAAATGTCATGCCCATAAGCCCTTAATCAGGGCAGTGCCTCTCTCTGGACCCAATCCAAACTGTCAATGTCTTTCTTGTGCCTGGATTCAGATTTGGCACATGGCATATTCCAAATGGAACTGAACCTGAACCATGTGGGGAGGGACATCAGCTGCCTTGGCCCGAGACATTAAATCTTGGCATACACAGCCCGGCCTGCTAGCTGCCTTTTTGTAGTCCCAGGGCATATGGTCAGCTCAGTCTCTTGCAGGACTATGGCATTCCCCACAAGACCCCTCTTCAAGGGACTGTGCTCCTGGTTATTAATTTCCTGGAGATGTACTGCAAACATTGATAAGATACTTGTAGGATGGCAAGCACATTTACCAAACAGTATGCCTGTCCAAAACCTTAGTGCTGGATCAATACTGTCCCATGCAGTATTTTTTATGTTTGTCTTCTTACAACACTGCTGCAGTATTTGGTTCTTTGATATGCCACAAATCCTACAGCTGCCAGCAGTGGGTCTTTTGACACTTTTGTAGGGAACATCGAACCATTAATTACTAGCTGTTAACAGCAAGCAAGAGAATTCTACAAGTCTATAAAAATGGGAAACAAGGCACAAAGTTTTGGGGGTTACAAACCACTATGTTTCCATCCAAAGTCCTTCAAAGACAAAAATGTAAGCTGTGTCCTTCAACGTGTTCATCAGAATTCCTCAATTCTCACTGCTACAATTATTTTGCCTATGAGGTCAAATGCATGTAAGCCACCTTTGCTTTCACAGAAGGGAATGTAAATACCCAATAAACATATGAAAAGATGCCTAACCTCATTAACAATCAGGGAAATGCAAATTAAAACAATAATGAGACACTGTTATTCACCAGCTGATTAACAAAAATTAGACCTATCAATGTCATTCAGACCTTGGGAAGTAAGTAGGGAAGGAGATTCAATGGAGAATGGGAACATAAGCTAAGAAAAATCTTTTTGGAAAATAATTTGGATGGTGTCTATTAAAATTGTCTACTGTATCTATCTATATACGTGTGTGTGTGTGTGTGTGTGTGTGTGTGTGTGTGTGTGTGTACACATGTGTATATTTGGTTTTGACCTAGTTATTACCACTTCTAGAAATCTAGCCTACAAAAAAATGGCAGGATTGCTTCAAGGCACAAGAAGGAAACTGTTCCTTCAAGCCCTATTATAACAAAATGCCAGATTCCACTAAGAAGAGTCTTTAATGAAGTACATTTCATCCTACATGAACTGACGTATGCCTCATTCCAAGAGAACTCATCACCGCTAAAACAATGAGGCAGTCTTCTGCTCAGGTCTGGTAAGATACTGCTATCTAGTAACTGAAATATGAAAAAAAGGAGGTTGAATCCATGGTTCCATTTTATTAACACACAACACAACCCTACAGCTGCATACACACTAGAAGCACGACTGAGAACATGGCTAAAATCAGAGAGAAATATACCAAGTTGTCAACAATGTCCTTGAGTGCTGCTTGTAAACATTGCTCACTTTTTCTCATTTTCACTTTGCAAACTTAACAGAAATTTTACACACACACCAAAGAGTAAAATACAACAGCTCCTCCACCGTCCATTTGGTCCTAGATCCCGGGCAGCAGAACCCCAATGTTTGGAACTCTCTGACCAACCAAACACAAAAGAGAAATCCCACACCAGCCAACACACGAACAATTCTTTATTTTCATTCCTGCCCACAGCCAAATCTTTGTGGAATTCATCAGTACTTCCTATCTGCCAAGTAACAGAAGTAGAGAGCACGAGGCTTGAAAACTATGCTCACTAAAGTCCTTTTAAAATAACATTTCAATATTGAAACAAAGCAGATAAGCAAAGGGCCTGAACTCTCTTACTATAGCACAAAAAGTAGATTCCACAAACATTCCATACCCCATCAACACAAAGACAAAAGGTGGCCCAGACAGGTTTTTTCAGAATTCTTCTGAAAAATCTCCCAGGGTACCTCTTAAATCCCTAGCCACCCTCAGGTGACAACTGGGAATGCAGACCTAGTTTGTCTGGCACCAAAACATGTAACCAAAAAAGTCAAAGGTCAAAGACCCAGGCTGTCACCTGGATATTTGACTTCCACATTGCAAAAAAAAATATTCAGACATTTCCAAATACCCAGGTGTTCAATAACAAGGGGAATAAACACGAGAAGCTGTCCTCTGCTCCAGCCGATGTCAAGTGCTCTCATGACTTCCTGTCACCAGTCAAGGCCCACTCACCCGGGAGAGCTACCCCTTATATCCATGGCCTTCAGGAAGGCACCCCACAGGCATAGATCGGTTGTTGTTAAGATGTACAAATTTTACAATCCCATCCCCAAGTGTCATTTCCAGCAGGCTCCTGGAGACCCCAAACCATGTCTCCTGAACGTGTGTGCACAAACTGGGCTCATGTTTTGAGGACTGTGGCACTTGTGGCTGCTTATCACACAAATGGGAAGGCAAACACTTGTTAATGCTTAAACTCCAACATCGACAGAAGTTTGCTTTGCAGGAGGTGTCCAGAGAACAAGGCTGGGCCATCAGACCCCCTAGGACCAGGGGTGGAAGCTCTTCCCTGCTCTCAGTAAACAAACAGTGGCTCTCTCCAGAGGAGGTGGGATGTGAATTGCAAAATATAAACGTGTTCTCCAGTTTCCTGAAGGAGCTCACAAGGTGAGTGACAGCAGGGCATCTGCCACCTGCTAAACTTAGCTCTTTAAAAATCCCATGACCTTCCTCAAAAAGCCAAATAGACAATTGTCCTGTGATCCAGCAATTCCACTTCTAGGTCCATAGCCAAAGGAATGAACAAGGACTCAATTGTACAGCAATTAAAGCATTATTCACAACACCAAAAGGTAAAAACAACTCAAATGTCCATCAATAGATGAATGTTTAAACAAAATGTGGCCTAGTCACTCAAAGGAACATTATTCAGTCATAA